TGACTCCCATTTATATTTACTGATACCTTTCCTACCTTTCCTTTATTAAAAATAATTTTCAGAAATAGGGTGGATGAGACATCTGAGAAAAATTAAATGTTTTAGGGTTAGTGAAAAAAGGATAAGAGCCCAAGTTAATTTCTGCAGCTGGATCATTAGGTCATTATTAGCTTCTTGTTTATTTCTTGCAATATTATATCATTATTATATTTTTATATATCATTAATATTAATTTACTTACTTTTGTCTGTAGAGTAAAAGCCTAGTTTCTGTTAAAAAGAAATCAGTGTTCTACATAATTAAACCAAATAAATAAATAAATACATTAATAAATAAACACAAATAGACAAAAGACATTTGTGAAATATATGCATTTGGATATAGTATATGTGTGTGTATGAGTGTGTGTGTGTGTGTGTGTGTGTGTGTGTGTGTAAGCCAGCTGCCTAGATTCAATAAGCTTACCCCAGTCCTTACTGTGTTTTGTATATGGCCACATTTTGGGTTTTTTTTCTAATTGTCCTATGAAAAATGAAGATTCTAAATCTAGATGTCTCAAATATTCTTATGTTGAACTCAGTAGGGCAAAAGATAGAGCCATGAATCAGGAATTGTACATAAGGCCAACAACAATAAATCCATCAGCTATCTGGCCTGAGAAAATGTAAAAATGCCCATCGGAAGTTAAGAATATATGTCAGAGAGGATAAAATAGAGAACCCTTAAAAGTTACTACATGGGTAGTGTCTATGTAATAAATTAGTAGTGATGCATTAGCAACATCTTACAGAGACACATGCTATTTTAGTTAAAAGGATTGGAGGGTTTCTTGGCCTTAGAAACTTTAATCCTATAGTTAATATTGATAGAAACAATTATCTGAAAATTTTAAAAAACTGGCTCTCATTAAGAACATGCTTAATTTAGATGGAAGTCAGGCATTAAGCTTGTGCTTTTGTTTGTTTTGTGAGTAGATAGATTTGTATGATATGTATTTTTAAAATCATAAGGCACAGTTCATCTGGTTAACAATTCAAAATTTTCCAAGAACAATATTAAATAATACAACATTTTAATTAAAACAATAAATACGGGAAACACAGTGCATGTAATAACACAGGTTCAAATCTTGATCATTCGACTAAAAAGTAAATTTTAGGACATGATGTATGTAAAAGTGCTTTTCACACTGTATTTCATATATGCTGACATTCGCCTTCTCTATACCCTCTGGCATTTGAGTCCGAGTTAATCATACAATGTCCCAGTGACATGGCAACAAAATTAAATTGAATTCTCTCCATCACCCTTACAAATACCCCACCAGGAAAAAAAAATTCTCCCTATCACCTGCCCGTTTATAACCCACCTCCACTGTCTCCACGTTGCTCACAGTAACTCCCCACACCAGCTAATTGAACAGATGCGCCCAGGCTGCTTCCTGAAGGCCTGCAAGGCTGGGCTTTGATGGACAGCGGAAAGTGGCACAACGGAAAAACAAAAGCCTTTCACTGAGGGCGCCGCTTTGTTCTGGGCAGAACGTTAAGGTCACTCCAGCTCATTCTGACGGTGGGGATCTTAATTTCTACTCAACCAATTTACTTGCAGCTGTCATTCTTTCCGCTGTTAAAGTTCAGCTCTTCAAGTGTGGGGGGTTGGGGGGCGGGAGGTGGCAGGCAATGAGAAGAGCTTACTGCACAAACTAAAAACAGCAAAAAGCAAGTAAAATCTGGCTTGGCTCTCAAGTACAAGAAGTTATTTTCAAAGCCCATAAATTATGACATAGCGATTAACATGTAATTTAAATATATTTAAACAACAATTATATCACATTCCCAGCCCAGCTAATTGGCCTCACAGATGTTCCCTTGTAGCTGCACTGCCCTTCCAGGGGGAAATGAATGAGGTGCTTTTCATCATGGAAAATAGAAAAGAGAAAAAAGGGGAAAAATGGAAGCACAAACATAAAAAGCAGCCAATAACCCTAAAGAACAATGAATGCTAAAGGGGCTTTGCTTAGCATTTTTTTCTATTTTAATGTAACAAAAAGCATTTAAAAGTAGCAAAAGCATGAAGACGCTCCTGTTCCTGTGATGGTATCTGGCAGTCTATCCAGATGGAGTTGGCAGGTTGTTCACAGAAAGACTTCTCAGGGCAGGGACAGTGGATGCATTCTAGCAGGACAGCGCCTCACTTCCTGTGTCTGAACAGACTACGGTGAGGGCTCGGTATTGTTAGTATGACGCCTTTACCACTGAAGGTGGTCTGGCCCAGATCATGAAAATAGATAATAAAGTATTTCCTGATGAAGAATCAAGGCTGTTTCCTCAGTGTGATTCCGATCAAACATCACCTAGTACAGCAACTCTTGCAAAGTAAAAAGTGAAAGGGACACTGGTAATTACTAATATTTTGTTATACCTTATCTACCGATCTGTAATCATGTAATTGAAATAAATCCACTGCTGCCTTATTTTCTTCTCGCCATTTCTTCTAATAATCTCAGGTAATGTGTGATAGTACAGTGTAAATTCCAAAAGGCCAGTGACCATGTGTTTCTTAGCGCATTGTGATACCTCTAGCATCTCCCACCATTCCTGTGCTTATATTTTAGAGAATTAATAAATCTTTGTTAAATGCGTGTGAAATGATGAGGGTTTAATGATAAGGTAAAACCAAGGGTTGTAATACAATAGAGTTCCACCAGGCAATTGTATTTCTCATACCATCCATCTATTTTGTATATCACTGGACTATACACAAAATTCCTTTCTCAAATTATATAAACAATATATCTGATTTCATATCTTTCTAAAAGTTAGCAAAAAATACCTATATTTAAAGTAATGTAGAACAGGTAAGCATTTTCAAATGCCTTTTTGATGAGTAGCTTTGGCATTTTAATTGTTTGACTTTAAAAATCCGATTTAGCAGATGTGAATATTTAAATTTTATATATTCTCTCTATATGTGCAGAGCTTTCGAAGTTCAGTTATAAACATTAACTTACTTTGTCTGCACTAAGAATGAGGTAGAGAGGCCAAGAATGAAAATGAGGATCTGAGGTGTTTCATGACTGGCCACATCACCTGTAATTGGGACTGTAACTCATAAGGCGATCTGTCTACTTAATGTGGAATACCACCTTCTAGGCATTACATTTTAATTATACCTCTAACTTTCCATGCCTTTTAATGTGTCTTTAAGTTTTGTTATCAGAGAAGGGAAGAAATAAATATTTTCTATGCCATCATGTAAGGGACTAAGTTGTGGGGAAAGTTCAAATGTAAACTCTGCATAACTCACAGGTTTATAACTTGCCCCTTTGCTAGTCCAACAGACTAAGTTAAAGGAATTGTACTATCCAGTAGTTACTAATTACATTAAACAGCTCACCTCCATGAGACCATATTCTTCTTAGATTGTTTTGTGAATCTCTAAATGGTAAAAAAAAAAAAAAAAATTGACCTGGAATAATAGTTAGCTATATTTCATTGATGTTGCAAGATGTTGTTGTCTTTGAGGTTTAGTTTAGTTGTCTTTGTTCATTAAAAGACACATTGTAGAGAATACAAGCTTTATCAAATCAACTGTTTTTATTTTCTCAGTTATCTCCAGTGCCTAGCCACATAGACAGTAGGTTCTCAACAATGTGTTTAATGACTACATTTCTATATGTAAGTTTTTGTTAAGAAACAGAGTTGGTATTTGTACAACCCCCTCTACTTACCCTAAGGAACATTGTCTTTAATGTTTTATTTTATTTTTATATCTACTTTGACTTAGCCCATAGGCTGGATGGTTTATTGAACTATAAGAAAATAGATATTTTTGCTATTGTTTTTTAAAATGTTTTTATTGATTTTAGAGAGAGAGGAAGGGAAAGAGAGATAGAAACATCAATGAGAGAGAAACATTGATTGGTTGCCTCCTGCATACCCTTACTGGGGATGGAGCCCACAACCCAGGCTTGTGCTCTGACCAGGAATCAAACCAGTAACCTCCTGGGGCATGCATGGGAGGACACTTAAGCCACTGAGCCACACCGTCCAGAGCTTGTTTTGTGTTGTTGTTGTTGTTTTTTAACTGCAATTTGATTTTACTGGTTCTAAATAAATGAAAATAAAGTAAATAAAGCAGTTTCTAGGAAATAAATTAATTTCCTAAAATTTTCTGCTGTTTCTTAGCTTTTAAAAAAATAAGACTGAGCACTAGCCGGTTTGGCTTAGTGGATAGAGCATCGACCTGTGGACTGAAGGGTCCGAGGTTCGATTCCAGTCAAGGGCACATGCCCCGGTTGTGGGTTTTGGGCTCGATCCCCAGTAGGGGGCGTGCAGGAGACAGTAGATCAATGATTCTTTCTCATCATTGATGTTTCTCTCCCTTCCTCTCTGAAATCAATGAAAATATATTTTAAAAGTAAATAAATAAATTAAATTAAAGTTAAACAGTAACTTAAAAAAAAGAAGAAGAAATTGACCCATTGCCGAAATGGTGAAAAATATATGTAAGTTGTTAGAAAGAAAAAACAATATTCCAGGCAAATCAAAATCCACTTCTATCTGCTTTGAGAAAAAATGCCTTCTTATAAGGGAAAAGTTAATGGCTATGGTATGAGGCCATTTCAGTTATTTAACATTAATGAAGCAAACTCTTCCTTGTTTAAAATTACAGTTAATCATTCACTGTTTTTCCCTTTCTCCTAGGGCTAATCAGAGGAATAATCATTGTCCACTTAATTTTTAATCCATTTAAAAATTTTACTTTTTATACATAATTTTCCTATCTAGGGACTGAGTTAAAATATTTAATCTCCTCAAAACACACCAATAAACTTGCTTGTAGTCAAAGTGCATAGAATTTTACCCTTTAGCAAACTTCACTGTTGTGCATGGTTTCCTCTCTGGTTCATACGACTCGTGTGGCTTTTCTTTTTCTTTCTTTTTTTCATTCATATTACCTCTTATTATATCCATCATTCCATTTTTCTTTCCTATTAGAGTGAAATTGGACACAGCCCTCCTCCCGCCTACACCCCCATGTCAGGAGTAAGTATTTCACAATCGACCTTCATCTTTTAGGATTTTTGGTCTTTGCTTACCATGTCTCCTCTCTCTTGTCTCCCTATAATTTCCTCATTTTGCCTTTGCCAACAGTAAGTTAAGCATTTGCTGTAGATTGTGAAGCAGCCTTTTTTAGATATCTATTATTATTTCAGTAGATAATCCAAAATGGAGATCTTATGCATCAACAGTAGCTTTTGATTTTTACCTGGGCTCATAAGTTATATCTCTAGTGAGGAGGTTATCTTGACTAGCATGATGATAGGCCGTGTGCTAAAAAGTGAGAAACTCTCCAGTTAGGTACTGGAGACTCACAGTCATAGTAACTACAGAGTAGAATGCAGTAAGGAAACATCGCCACTCAAATGGCACCAATGTGCTTCCGTTCTTAATGGCAACTGCCTATAATTAACTAGGTTGCTATATGTCATGAAAATTCACTTTGAATTTTCTATCAAAAACAGGCAATTGGGGGGGGGGAAATGTGAACTATGTTTATTAGATCATATGGTGGTAGGTGCTTCGTAATATTAAGAGATCATATATAGTTCCAAATTGTTTTCCATGACTTAAATTTTTAAGAAAAATTGGAATTTTAGGTGTGATTAGTCTGTAACTGAATGCCATTAGCCACTAGGGGAAATAAGGTAAATTAAAAGAACCAACCAATCAAAAATCAAACCTGACATGTTTCTGAAAGACGAGCTTCCATATCCTTTAGCTTTTCACATTCATTTTTTGCAACTCTTCCTAACAGTAACTGTTGTCTGAATGTGTCTCTACTATTGACAGAACCAATTTGTGTACCGAGATGGGGGTTTTGCCGCAGAACAGGGAGTGCCCGTGCCCTACAGAGCCACGACCAGCACCATCCCAGAAGCTCCCGCTGCTCAGGGGGCCGCAGCCGAGATGTTTGATGACGCCTGCTGCAATGGCACCCTACGCAAGCCAGTGGCACCCCATGTCCAAGAAGATAGCAGCACCCAGAGGTACAGTGCCGACCCCACAGTGTTTGCCCCGGAACGGAGCCCAAGAGGAGAGCTGGATGAGGAAGGCTACATGACCCCTATGCGAGACAAACCCAAACAAGGTACAAACACGATGTTCAGAAATGATTGACGTTCTACATTCACATCCATCAAAATAGGCAAAGTGTAGCAGGGGTATGGCCAAAGCTCTGGACTCTGCATCGTCTGTGACCCAGAAACAGACCCGGCTGCTGCCATCCAGGCTGTACTGTCTGAACCAGCAGCAGCCGAGGCAGTGATGGCTTTTTAGAAATCAGAGTCTCAGGCCCTGCCTGCATACGAGCCTGAATTTTAACAAGATCCCCAGGTAGTTTTTAACATGGTCAAGCCTGAGAAACACTAACCTAAACATATCCTTATTGAAATATTTGAATGAGGTAGCATATCACAAGAGTTCAGAACCACTGTTTTATTGGACTTATCATAAAGACTGGGATTGTTGGCAAAAGCGTCCGAAGATTTTAATGGCACCAGTAAAAGATTCGGTGGATCATTTAAAATGGTGTCATTTAAGTGACCTAGTTTATTGCAGAAAATTATGATTTCTTCTGACACATTTCAAAAATTAAAGTTCTAGCCCTGCATATACTTACACATATATCATTCCACCTTGAAAATATCCATACTTTGTGGTTTCATAAAGCACCATAGTAGCTCCCTCTTATCTACTGTTTTGTTTTCCATGTTTTTAGTTACCCATGGTGAACCACAGTCTAAAACGATCAAAGGGAAAATGGCGGAAATAAACAGTTTATGTTTTAAAGTGTGTGCTATTCTGAGTCGTGTGATGAAGTCTCCGGCCACCCTGCTCTGTCCCACCCAGGATGTGTGTCCATGTTGTGTATACTCTTGGCTCATTGATCACTTAGTAACCATCTAGGTTTTCACATGGATCAACTGTATCACAGTGATGGTGCTCAAGCAATCCCTTACTTACTTAATCATTTCTACAAAGTGCAAGAGTAGAAAGGCTGGCAAGTTGGATGCCAAAGAAAAGTCATAAAGTGCTTCCTGTAAGTGAGAAGTTATGTATCTATAGGGAAAAATCAGTATAAATAGGGTTTCGTACTATCCACACTTGCATCTGTACTATTCACTCTTTCAGGCATCCACTGGGGGTCTTGGGACATATCTCCCATGGATGAGGGGGGACTAGTATGCAGTGTTAGCGGTGGAAATGTTAAACACCCAAATCCATTCTGAAAAAGCCTCTTTCCTTCTACATTAAAAGCATCACAAAAAGAAAATAGATGGTTGTTATTCAAAACTGATGATCCTGTCTCAGCATCTTCAGTGTCAACAGCAAACTGTATTTTAAGACTCTGTATGAGGGCCCATTATGTCCTGTAATATTGGCTATATTTACTTTTATAAAATGTGAAATGCACATTGTAAATAGCATATATGTGTGTATATATATATATATATATATACACACACCTAGGTATATAGAAGAACTTATTTTATATGATGTTTATATTGTAATATATGAAGTTTATAGTAACCCAGTAGTGACACAAATGGAGGCTTTCAGAGGCTTTGGCAGATCCCCCTGAAAGTAGAATATTCTCTGGGAAGATTCTCAACTCTGCCACGGAGTTACTCCTCTATGTATAACCACATAGTTGGTTACATGGTTTGCATTAGGATAATAAGTAGATTGTATTGAGAAAAGGTAACAAAAATCTTCAATGGGAAAGGCAAAGGTATAGGCTCACTGTAGAACATCCCCAGATTCTGCCTCTGAATACTAAGAGACCAGGTTTCTGTAGAAGGAATGTTTAGTTCTCAAAGACTAGAGCATTTTACCTGTGGTCGGCAAACTGTGGCTCATGAGCCACATGCGGCTCTTTGGCCCCTTGAGTACCGAGATGGGGGCGCATATAGTGCGATTGAAACTTCGTGGCCCATGCGCAGAAGTCGGTTTTCAGCCTGGGTGAGTCTATTTTGAAGAAGTACTGTTATAGTTGGCTCTGTTGACTAATGAGTTTGCCAACCACTTGATAGACATTCCTATGCTTTTAATGAAGAAGTTCAGAAATCTGGGGGGAAAAACAATTTCTGGCTCCCTTTTAGGTTTATTCATATATTTTTCTTAAAATGACAGTAGCTTTGAGCCCCTTTCAAATTAAAACATTTTATCAAAGGTAAAGTTCACCACACTCCTATAGGGGCAATAATGAAAACAGTGCAGAAGAACAAGAGGATTACTCAGGAGGAGTTAGAAGGTCTGAAGTCTAGTTCATTGCTAATTGGATCCTTCATACATTATTGAATTTCTGTTTTCTGCCTATAAAGCTGGAAAAATACAGCTTGCACCTCTTTTTTCACAGGATTGATGCAGGATGAAATGAGAGTACCTTGTACGTTACTGAACTGTAATCCATGTAGTATATGATGATGAGATATTCATTACCATGCTAAATACTTAAGTACATCCATAGACCTATATCCAGAGGAAAATAACCCTGAGTTGATGAGATTTTTTCTCTACATGTCAAACTAAGTATGGGGGATACAAAGTTTATTTCAGAATGTTGGCATCTCAGCAAAGTAAGAATAGCTAAAGTGTCTTTTTTTTGTGTATATAAAAGACAAGACAAAAATATGTCTGTATATTCAGATACATGTCTATATATATAGTCATAATATAGAGAAATTAAGCTTGAGGAGAGCAACATTAATTAGCACCATTTTTTTTTAAAAAAATTCTGGGCCAGTACCTATTTTAGATCAATTTATTAGATTAAATCACACAAAATAGCCACTAATGGATCATTTCCAACCTACATAATAGTGATATTTTATATGATTCAAACTAATAGTTTGCTATTTTGTGATTATCATTAGCCACTGGAAATTGTTATACTTTATTGTTAAGCATAGGTATTGGCAAGCAAGTCACTTTAGAAGCATGTTAGATGTCTACCAGGTTTGTTTTAGGAGTTGAATTTTTCTTCTTAGATGTTTCTCTTCCTATGGATAAAGCTTTCTGGAAAACATCTATAATCAAATCCTTGTTACTATACAGACACCACAGTAAACCTCACTTGCTAAAAATGCTATTCTTTCACTTCATCTATTGATCTTGGAGTAGAATTCAGCTTATATTTATTTTTCAATATCCTTTAAAAAATTCTGATTTCTCAGTACTTAAAGGCTATTTAACCCTTATAGGTTGTCTCATCTTCCAACATAAGTTTGGATAACTGGCTCCATATGTAGGAGAGACGAATGCAATTAGAGGGAAAAAGAACAATCTAGGCGACAGAAACACTGATACCAGCCCTGCAGGCGTCTTCTTTTGTCCTTATCATTTTTGACCCATTTACTCTTTTTTTATATGACAGCAGTAATCAACAAAATAGTTTTGTGAGAATTCCTGGCTTTATTGTTCTAAACAAAGAAGCTAACCGTTCTGTATTAACATTGGCTCTGATTAACATTTTCCAGGTAGCAGATGTTAACTGATATTTTCGTATTCCGTCAGAATATCTGAACCCTGTCGAGGAGAACCCTTTTGTTTCTCGGAGAAAAAACGGAGACCTTCAAGCTTTGGATAATCCCGAATACCACAATGCTTCCACTGGTCCACCCAAGGCAGAGGATGAGTATGTGAATGAGCCACTGTACCTCAACACCTTTGCCAACACGCTGGGGAATGCCGAGTACCTGAAGAACACCGTACTGTCTGTGCCGGAGAAGGCCAAGAAAGCGTTCGACAACCCTGACTACTGGAACCACAGCCTGCCCCCCCGGAGCACCTTTCAGCACCCAGACTACCTGCAGGAGTACAGCACAAAATATTTTTATAAACAAAATGGACGGATCCGGCCTATCGTGGCAGAGAATCCCGAATACCTCTCCGAGTTCTCGTTGAAGCCAGGCACTGTGCTGCCTCCTCCACCCTACAGACACCGGAATACTGTGGTGTAAACTCAACAGTGGTTTTAAGGTGGAAAGACATGCCCGCTCCAATTTCCCTGCCACCTCTCTTTCTCTTACGGTCTCCCTTCTACTCCCAAGGCCAGTAGTTTTGAAACTTCCCAGGGGAAGCTGTAGAGATGCAATGATAGTTATGTGCTTATCTAACTTGAACATTAGAAGGAAGGACTGAAAGAGAAAGACAGGAAAAACCACACTGTTTCTTCATTTCTCTGCATGGGTTGGTCAGGCGACAGAACCAGCAAAGGCAAGGCAATACTGCCTGCTGTCAAACAAGTTTTCAATTTTTTTTTCTTTTTTCAAATTTCTATTTTTTTTTAAATGCGGAGTCTTGAAAGACCCATGCTATCTGTTCCTGTCTACAGGAACTGATGTGTACAGTTTCAGCATCCCTGAAAGCCCTAATAACCTTTACATTAGAATAAGTAAAAGATAACCTTTTCTATAATATGTAATATAACAGAGTGAGAATCCAAATTTCTTTCTCCCACTGTTTCTATCCTGACAAGCAAGCGTGGCTAACTCAGCTTTCATTTCTGAATCTACATCAGAGTTATAACTAGTAATTTTGTTTGGAGGGCTTTCTTGTGTGTTTTTTTTATTATTTTATTTTCCTTTTTGTTTTTGCTTTGCTCTAGTCCTTCATATTACTACTTTCTCCCCTATTTTTGGCTTTAATTTCTAATTGCAAAGATTTTTTATGCATTGCTATAAATTATCAGAATTTTAAAAAGGAAGTGGAATGGCCACTATTTTAAATATATTGTCTTTAAAATTAGAAAGGGAGGCCAAGATGTTAGTCAAATATAGCATCAAATCTCACTTTTTTTTTGAGTTTACACTATTGAACATGTACCACCCCCATTCCTTTTCATCCTTCAATGTTTTCTTCTCCTCCATAAATGACAGTACTTGATGGGCAGTTGGTAATTTTTTAAAAAGAAGGGAAACTAAGAGACAGTTCTGTGTGGTTCATGAAAACTACTGATATTTTCAGGGGTGATCCAATGGGGAATCCATTGAACTGGAAGAAACACACTGGATTGGGTATGTCTACCTGGAAGATACTCAGAAATGTAGTTTGCACTTAAACTATAATTTTATTTGTTCTCTTTCCGAACTCCATTTTGGATTTTGAATGAAGCAATATGGAAGCAACCAGCAAAATAGCTAATTTAAGCACATTTTTTAAAAAGTGCTTAAAGAAAGAAAGACTATGGAAATACCAAACCAAGCAAATTAGGACTTTGGAACAGTATCCAGGGATTATGATGACAGGGACAGCACGTTATCTACATGTGATATCACATTTGCTACGCAAGGAAAGTTGTTCCAGTTTGTATACTGAATATTAAGAAATGCAAGTAACGATGGGCTTGAATTCTATGGAATTTCTAGTATGAGACTCTATTTATAATAAGGGGAAGGTAACTCTTTGCACATAAATTGGTATAACAAAAAAAGAAATACAAGCATTCACAGCTTATAGATAGATCCTTGGGGCAAAAATTGTAAATAAACCTGAAAAATATTCTCATGTAATTATTTTAATATCCCACATACTAATCTTTTGATACTTTATATAATAACTCCTTTCCTCAAACACAGCATCCTAGTAATAGGACCATCTTTATTATGTATTGTTTCAAGAGAATACCTGCTGAGTTAATATGATTAATGGGAACAAATGGTAGGAATGAGTCTCCAGAAAAAGGGAACCTCAGATCAGTTATTAGGAGAATTGGATATGTCTCTCTTTTCTAAGAAAATCCATCCCAGGTCATTTGGATTTAATTTTTTTTTCTAATGTTGACATAGTGGGATCAAATTTGACTCTATTATAAGAAGCAATTAGACTAAAAATCTCCAAATGGTAAAACAGAGAATTTAGAGGGGAGAATGCAAAAGGAAAAAAAATCTAGGTTTCTACTTGTTTTGAAAATGTAAATCCATTAATACCTTCAAGTTATTTTTTCAATTAATATTTATTTAGAGTCTCTTAAAAGCACTGTGTTATGTGGGAAATACTGAGATAAATGTAATATTATTCCTAACTTAAACATTTTAGTCTAGATTTATTTGGGATGACACTTGAATTTCTTCATAAATTTAAAGAATAAGATTGCATGAACTTTTTGTGAGTAGTCATAAAATCAGCTGTTAGTTAAAAGATCTCTAGTGAAGTCATTTGAGACACAAATGAAAGATCCTACAAGTTACTAAAATATACAAATAGGATAGTTTCAACGCTATCATCTAAGCACAAACCGGTCTAGAAGGATGTTGCATCACTGGCCTATTGGCCTGCCTGGATCCAACTTGACCATTAAATCAGCAGTCAATGTTGGTCTTTGGCCAAGAACCTTGGGGGCATTGGGATCAGTTTCGTTCTACGTTTTGAAAAGGGGGGTAAGCTACAAGAGCGAGGAAAAGCAAGGAAGGGGTTTCTGAGATACTTTCTAATAAAGTTCAACCGTAAATTTCCCAAGAATAATTCAGGCGCCACAGCATGACAGCTTAGAGCACTCTCACCCATTCAGAGGAGTCTGCAGGAAAAGGGGACCTCACATCAGTACTTATGAAAATTTAAATATAAGCCTCCAACTTCTGGATAAATCTGTACCAACTCAGCATTGACAGCACCCTTGTTGGATACTGGAACTTGATTTTTTTCTTTTGATTTACAGTATTCATAAATTTTTATTGTGATATGGAAAGCACAATCGTTTATTTTGTAGAAGGCTAGAACAGTATTTTTTTTTACTCTTAAGGTAATAGAAATGTATCCAGTGAATGTAATCTCCTCCATCTTAAGAACATGAGACCCTTGGACATCAGGTAATCTTCCACTAATAACTGGAGATAGATGTGAGTATAAATTAAAATGATCCAAAATATTTCATGAGGGCTCCACGTTATTGTTCCTTTTGAATGATTTTTGTAGTACATACTTGATTTCAGTTGTTTGAAGGTTTCCCTTTTGTTATATATTTGTTCTCCTTAGAAAACATATTTCAGAGTGGATGAGAAGGAGAAAAAAAATCCATTTGTTCCAAAGAATAACTCGATCAACCCAGTGGAGTGTAATGTTCAAATGCCAATCAAAGCCTGCAAGGTGCATTGGAATATCATGTTTCTGAGGCTAGATGTATCTGTGCTAATATGCAGAATCAATTCAGTCAATTTGAAGAAAATTAATAGTAAAGTTGCACAAACTATATTTTTAAATCACTAAATTTTGTAGTTTATACCTACCTTAGGGAATCCTATTTTCAAGTATGAAAAATGGTATAATGGAAAGGTTGTTTAAAGAAGTACTTCTTAGACAGGTGAGGAAAGATGTTCTGTAAACCAGGGTAGACCCAGCACCTCAAAGCACCCTGCACCATGCGGAGGTGCTTGGGCTGCTGAGCAGCGGTTGGTTTTCCAAATGTTAGTGCCACAGGTTAGGATGAGAGCTTTCTCACGTAATAATCTTGAAATAGCATAAAAAAATAAATACTCAAATTATATTAAAAGGTACAAAGTAAAAATATGGGATTCTTTCTTAGTATATCAAGAAGAATGATTATCTGGGGCTTCGGAGAAGAAAGAGTATTCTTCTAAGATGTGTTATAGTGTGCTAATAGCTTCTAAAGGCAGGATATGGCATGAAAATCAGGAATATCCCCAATGCCACGGACAGACCCTTAAAAGGACTGGGAGGGTTTGCTGCTACCTGAAGTTAGAGGGACTATGGGTGTGCTTCTTGAAGTGTCGAAAGTGAAAAGAAAAATTTAATTCTTTAAGCCCGACAGGGAAGGATGTAAATACAAGTTTTTTTCTAGCTATCTAACCTTTATTTCAAAACTTGAATTAATCATCCATCTATAAATGTTGATTATTTAACTAGTGTATGTAGTTCATAAGGTAATAGAAAAGGTAAAGATCATGAAAGCATGTATATAACTGGGCAGACCATGAAAATGCTGTAAGATGTAGATTTAGTTAAGTTATCAGACATTAAATGATTTTAATATTATTAAATAAACTAAGTTAGAAAATTAACCACAAACTATAATGTAACAAAATAAAATGCAGGATATGAAAGTGTAGGTTGGATTTTGCAAAGTAAAAAATAAGTTTACCCTTTAAAATTGCTATTTGTTAGGTATATCTGAAAGTAGGCATGTAGAGAGCTGGTTCCACTTGTGAAAATTTGTTTAAAGAACTACAATTAATTTTTTCCTCATATTCTTACTCCTTTAGCTTTTAAAAATGTATTAAATGTAAAGAGAAATTTTTAGAACTTGTCTTGCAAGCACCACCTTGAAGAGTTTAACAGGCAAATATGTTGATTATGACTTGAAGTGAGAGGTCTCTAAATGAAGTCCAGGAAATGTAAATGTTCTATTACCTTATGCAGAGACAGAGAATGAGTGGTGCCATTGACTAAGCAAACAAAACATTTAATTTGTGGTATGTCCTTTCTTTTTCCTTGATACCTCTGGTTTCCCAAAACAAACAGGAATTAGTTAACAATATTCTGATAAAGAATTGCTAAAACCAGCATTTCAAAGTGCTGTATCTCCATTATTTTGGACTCTAATTATTAAACTGATGATTTGTAATACAGCAAATAAGAAATCCAGGTGTGTAGGCTGCTAGTTGTTAAAAAAAATCTGATAAATTCACTCCTGTATATGCTATGGACAGATAATTCTGCTGTGTCTCTCCTTGTGTATATGGAATTTTGAAGGACAGCCTTGTACCCATGTAGACACATAAAGGCAGACTCATGTCTTCTAATTGCCATTTGCTTGAGAAAGACTAGCAATAGAGAGACAGACTGGGTATAACTTAAAATGCCAAGATCAGAGGAGGCCTTAATATTACAGATATTGCAGTGGGGCCAGGTTTTATATTTCTGGGTAGAATTGATAAAATATTCTAATCCCAGAGATGTCTTTGCAGAGTAGTTGTTTCTACAGTTACAAACATGAAGCTGTTGT